TCTATTAACTATTTGTAAATTTTTGTAATTCAGTGATCTTCAAAATTCCAAACTGGTTCCAAAACTTTTTTTAGTTTATCAACAATAATTTTCACATAGGTTGTAATGAGAACAAATGGCTTCTGAAAGAATTATACGGTACTCATAATAGTACACACAAAAAGAATTTACACACCAAATATACAAACATTACACTACTAGGTCAGGATTTTAAGGCTATAACAATTGATTTACTATAAAATATCTACAAGTTTTCAATCATAGAAGCAAGATCAAGCATGAACTGCTCTGCAATCTCCTGCTTTCAGCGGTGCCCTCCAGAATACCAGTGTTCCTCTGCAAGCAAGACTCCTGTATTTCTTCGTTGTGTTGCAGAAGCCATTGACTGTCGTCCATTAATACATCCTGGAACTGTGAGTTGTGTGAACTGCGAAGCAATCCCCTATTTTAGTGACTTTATTCATTGTATTTTCTGTGCTTTATTTCTTGTAATTATATTGAGAGGCACTAAAGCCAGGAGCTTTAACTCGATATTTTGGTGTATGTGTATTTCATTTCCAGTACTATTGTCTTGTCTACCCCATACTAGCAGTGAAAGAACCCCCTGTCCAGTGCGAGTTCTGTGGGTGGCCCTCTCAATTGCGATAAGCAGGCCTTACACTGTGACATGTTTTTTTCATGCACAGGTTGACCTGTCACTGTGATTTACCATTTACCATGATTGATACGCCAAGATTGTTGTGCGATACTGTCAACATTTTACAAATATTATAAAGAAAGCATTACGGAGGTGATTTTTATGAACAGAATTGAAAGTCAAACACACTGTATACATGTAGTATGATAGTTTGGCATTTTAAAATGTAAGACCACATGATGTTTTTTTAAAGTAATTAGCAATTTTAATAAAAGGCAAAAAAAAAAAAAAATACTTTTAAGGTTTGTGCAGATTGGGAAATTATATGTTGTATTACTTTAACTTTAATTATTATGGATTCATTTAACCAAGATACTGTAAATGGAAAAAAAATTGAGGTCACTAGACAATTTTGCACGATACAAGATTCCAAAATGTCACAGAAAATGAAAAAAAGTTCAAAATTTGCATTTTACACTTTTATGATGAGATTAACGCATCATTTCAAATTTAAAACGTTATTATTGAAATGAATCATAATATTGTTACAACTTGCACTCAGTAGTGCAAATTTGAATTAGCTTATTCACTATGATAACATGAACAATCATTAAAACATTGCCGTATTACCTTACCCCTACTTCACACTTACATTCTCACAGTATAGTGACAAAATTATATAATAACTGAGTTTCAGTAATCGTGATCCAATATCATTGAAATGAATAAATTCTGTTTTAGGTGAATCACTGAATGCTATACACAACTAACCAAGAAATGTTATGTTTGATGTAGTAGTAACATGGAAAAAATGTTACGCGAATTCAAAATGAAAGACCTAATGGCTTCTCAGACTTATAATACAGAAAAATTCTTCAATTGAATAATTCGGGGATTGCGTTAACCCCATATTTTGCTTCCCGGACTCCAATAATTGAAGAGAGACCCAGTTTTTTCAGGCAAGCTGGGGTCCAATCTCTAATAAAGTTATTCAGGGTCAAATTTCAATTTCTTAAAATTTTGTAAGTGGGACTCGTCTTGCTAAGACACTATTGCAAACCCTGGAATATTATTTTTAAGTGTTTTCACCAGACACGCGAAATGAAATATTGCCTACATGGTTTAATTTTTTGTCCCAGATCTTTTACTCTGATGAGACAAATTGTCTCACAAAAAAGTAAGAAGATACAAGTTACAATTCAGAAGTGTAGAATAAAATTCAAACATGATAAATATTTGAGTACACTGTCTCATCTTTAAGAGAAACAAAATACTTAATTTCTGTCTGTAGTTCCACATCGTCATGGATGGGTAATTGTCTCTCGCTTTCTAACTGATGGCAGTATTTTAAATTACTGCCCACCATACGCCCAATTACAGGCAACTATTCAGTCGGGCTGGTGAAAATGTTATGTTACTAGCCCTGTGGTCGGGTAGATTTTTTGAGAAAATAAATAAAATATTACTTTTTACAAAAATTACAAAATGTCTACAGATGCATGATTGTTGTCAATATTATGTACCTAGATGTTTGATGCGACCAATTTGATCCATGCAACATGTAAAACGGTCTGGGTGACGGTCACATTCCCCAAAACACGAAACCTCTTTTTAAAATGCCAAAATTTGTACGACTAGTGACATGAATCTTGACAGTAGAAACAAGTTGTGTGTTTTTTTCAATGTCAGCATATCAAACTTCAACATTCAAATTTTGTTCGCCAATATTTGTTAATTCCCAGAAAAGTGCTAACATAACAATACTGACATACTTGACCTATCAGATCAACGGAAGTTGTTGCAGTGAGTAGTATAACAACAAGTGCATCACATTGAGAGTTTGTGCACAACTAAAACAATTCAACAAAGATAAGAGGGAATGATAAGCTAATTTTGACTATTTTTTTCTAACACTAACAATTTTTATGCTTTTTTCTGAACATTTTTGTTTCCTGTTTTAGTATTACATTTGCGCATGTGCATTTAGTGTTTGCAGCAAGCTAAACACTTTTTAGCTCCATATTTAAAATGTAATGTTTGACACGAAATTTAATCTAATTGAACATGTTGTTAGAGCTTGTACTAAAAATACCTACATGCATGTGTTTAATTATAAAGTGAGTAGATAACTGAAACATCCAGGGATAACTGTCGTTTGAATCTTGTTTTGAGTCAGCTGGTGCCTCCCCCCCCCCCCATCTATAGATTATCAACCTTCATAGGTATGCACATTGTAGCAAATGTAAACCGTTAACCATTTTTAACAAATGAAAGCAGAATCATCATGATTTTAATAACATTGAACTATAAGGCACAATGAACATTCCTGGGGACTAGAAGATGTTTTCAGCAAAAATACTAACTTTATTTGGGAAATACTTATCAAAGTATATTATTGATTTGTTGGATTTTTTTCTCTCACTTTTTTATACATATTTTTGTTAACAATGAAACTATCTTGGTAAAATATAACTCTTGATACGCCCTGGTCAGAATTTTTGCACACCTATTTATAGCTAGATGCATAAACTTGAGATGCACACAACATGGTACATGATCAAGTTCCCTTACATTAGGAAAAATATGCTGCCACCATGAACTTGGTAAGTAAATAGCTGACTTTTCTGTCTTTGCGGAAGATTTTAAACAAATCATAGCTCAAATAAATAGTACGTGAACAGCAAACATACACACGCCCTATGTTCGGTTTCGTGTAAAATACACGATTAGCAAACAGCAGCGCAAAATTTCAAGATTATTGATACCTTGTTTGTTTTGTGGTTGTTTACAAAAAACACGGCCTTATTTCCGGGTATAGTTTCAGTCAAGTGATTAGTGAATGGACCCAGGCTGTACTAGATGTATAGCCTAGATAAAAATTGCCGCCCTGGTGAAATATAATTAAGGTCGAGTGTTACTAGGAGTAGGACGAAGACTGAATAGTCGGTCGCCCGGGGGTTGAACACAACGAGTTAGCAAAGGCGGAAGAGGTCCTGATTTTAACATCAATTGGGACTGTGTTCTCAAATCAAACGTTGACACAAAATACATCAACGATAAGCGTGAACGGCAGTCATATTAAAAAAACAACAACACAATTTCTACGAACCTATGAGTTCGGCAATTGCAGAGAACGGCCATGTATGCGATGTCGAATTGGTATGCAGATATTTCGGGGACATCTGAAAAAGAAGCCAGTAATAAACTTATATGCGGTCAGTCATACACAAGGAATTAATCCAGACTTCAATTGTTAAATATTTTCAAGAAAGTAGCCTCTATGAGGTCATACTTACCGCGCTTTTGCGCACGCCTTTCTCCATGTCCGCCATCTTTATTTTCAGTGACCCTTCGTTTTTTTTTATTTACCCACAATGCCATGCGAATGGTATTAATGAATCATGTCGATTGGACGCGAGACGGCGCTGTTACCAAAACTGACACTAAGGGCAGAGACTGGTTTACCATTGCTTTACCA